GTACTTACTTGGTACTATATTTGAAAACCTGTTCTTGTTAAGGTTCGAGGGCTTCAACGCTTCAACAAATTCTTCTCCTGAGCTTTGGCAGTCGCTGACGAGCTCCAAACGCTGGAATAACAAATACTTTTCACTTTAGTTTGCCCGTTTAGCAATAGACTATATAATATGAAACTGGTGACATTTGAAAGTGCGAGGTAGACTTATACCTTGAATTCTTCTGCATAACCAGTCTGTTTGGCATCTGACATAACCCTGGCAAGTTTGTTCATTCTAATCCGCAAGTTTTGAGAAGTGACCTCTGTAGTTCCACAGGTCAAAGCTTCCATCACAGCTTGATGTATGAACACGTACTGTGTCTACATAAATACAAAAAACTATGAAGCTAAACAAATACAAGAAGAGCAAACACTGTATCTTGCTAGTCCATTTCATCAAATAATACGATTACGCATAGTGTCGTCATCTTCCATTTAAATTGTTATTTTTCCCATTTCCCTCCCATTAATTATTATGATACAGAACGAATAGCAAACAAAAACGACAAATAATTAAAGAAACGTTCAGTTAAGGCAATAAAACTTTCATTACGTTACTCTTTCCTTGTTTACAAACGTGAAAAATACAGCGGAGATATCAAATTTAATCACATCTGCGTCTAACCCACACTTCTGGAGCGGGAACACTCTAAAAATTAAAAACCTTTCACGCAACAATAGCTATGTCCGAGAAGAATGTAAAAAAAATTTACCCGTGTACAAGAAACTGAATTACCCACAAAGATTCGAACCTTGCAGCTTCCTATCTCGCGATCGAATGCCTTTCAATTTCATGTGACTACAGAAAAATCATCGACAACATTCGCAGCAGAAATGAATCAAATTCACTTACATCTTTCTGCACCATATAAGGGCGATGTTTTCGCATCACTTGCACGTAATTCTGTATGAACACAGTATTCTTCTTCTTAGCACCTTCCAACATGGCGTCGATAGCAATGTACGTACCAGTTCGACCAACACCAGCACTGTCATGAAGCAAACAAATAAGAGATCACAAAAGAAAAATGATCATGTCGTTAAAAGAAAAAAAAATTCAGCCGACCAGCAATTTTGAATTCCTCTGCGGCCCAGACGCGGTGAATGCTGTCTACACTACACTTGTAGTACCCACTTTTTATCCCACTGAGGTAAGAGTAGGTTTTTCGCATCTTAAAAATTATTTACTGTATTATTTTTAATGCGTATTGATCTCCTTCCTCGTTGTACCAAACCTTCAGACACTATTTAACTAGTATTTGAATGTTAACGGCCGCGAATCCATGCAGTGGGCGACCTTGATCAGCTGTTCTCCTCACTAGTGCACGCTCTAGTGGAGCTGACCTGCGATCTTTGAGTTTTCGAGAACTTTGGTAAAGACTGCTCCACAGCAGTCCTGAAAACTTTCATTCGTAGCAGCTGTTTTAACATGTTTTCCCACCTCACCCACTTGTTGTTAAATGACAATTTTTTTTAAAGAGTACCTGCAGTGTACAACGAGTGGTCCGCCGGTGGTCTGATTTCGAACATGAACCTTCCATCTAAATGCAAGTAACGCAGTCGAATGGTGTGGGACACCTCTGTCTGGCCACGAGGTGAAATGATATTGGTAAACCTCACGCGTCTTTGTGCCCTAATGCCGATGAAAATTAAGACTTATAACTCATTTTAATTTTACTTTTGAGGCTTAAAGGACGAAACACGATCAAAGTGTCAGTACAAAATCGTCTGACAATGTGTAAACTTCAACTTTGCAAAGGCGGTGATAATTTTCCACTGAAAAATAATAGCCTTTCGAGTATCATAAAACCTCTGTTATTCAGAGTGCAGAATCGTTGTCACTTAACAATCTCGCCTATTGCAACCATTTTACCCCAAAGATCTAATCAGTGAATCACTCTTCTAGCAGCTAGCATGCAATTTTCGGTGAGTTAGTTTAGAGAATCTTAAGTTATATCACCATAAAAACCTTCCAGTTGAAAAAAAAAACAGTCTACTTTCATAACCGGAGAGGAAAGGAGGAGGAGAGCTCTCGTGTCTGTAATTCCTATGAGTTAAACCTTAACTCCCATGAGTGACCAAGACAGAATTTTGTCCTTACTACATCAATACAATATCAAACAGACAAGTGATGAGAATAAAGAAAATATTAATTAGGGAATTATTAGTTGATCTCGAAACTAACATCACAAGAACTATATGACAGACAGTAAGGAGAATTGCAAATGAGATCTTGGAAGATAAAGGGTTATAAGGTTTAGGCTTTGTAATCAATATGTTCAAATAAACTGCTTTTGTAAGGTAAGAAAAGCTGTCAATGTCTCTGCATCAATGTAAATTTGATCCCGGACCATAATGTCATTCATTTCCTACGTGAAAGTACACGTTGAACATAATATGAAAATCTCAATTGCCCTACAAACAAATATTACGCTCGTAGGAGTCAGGCTAGTATGCAAGACAAACGACTAAACGTTCATTTATCTTAAAACCACGATGAACAACATTTTCTATGAAAAAAAAAATATATTACGTTTAATTCTATTTTAAGGAGTAAACATCACGCAAATATGGTGTTCTTCTATATTTTCTTACCTGGACTAATTTTAAGGTTCGGATGCAGTAGTCAGCGAAGCTTTGCGTCCCAAGTAGTGTTACTGTGATGGATCCAAACCTCGTAGTATTGTCAGGCCAATACTGATTACACTTGTTCTTAAAGAGTAAAAAAACAATTGTACCTGTATCACTCGTCTTTTGAAATAAAACAATTTGTATCGTTTTCTAAGTCTGTTCTGTTTTAAAAACTGGGCACGACAATAACATACTGTAAAGAACCCATAGAGTAATAAAGAAAAGTACTTTTTACATCAGAAAGAATACCTTTCCAAGCTCGACCAAGTTGGTTAACATGACGATAACAGAACAATCATTTTGCCAGATCATTCGCCAGAAATCATTGATTGTTGTAGAGGTTGGACCTGAAAAAATATCAACAAAGTATTGAGAGACTTGATAGAAACAAACCACGCGTACCTAAGGAGACTTCACTCTACAGATCTATCACAGATTTACAACAATGATATACCAGATATATTTTTTTAACAATTATCCAAGAAAAACAATAAAATGTACAACCGACTGCGGGTTGGAAAATGTGAATAAGAACCAAAATCTATTACCTTGCGTTGCAATGTAGTTCATTGATTCCTCATCAACAGTCTAAGAATGAAATAGAAGTTACTATTAAATCATAACTGATGATTTGATTTAGAAACACAAGTGATAATTTCGCTGTTTATATTTTCTGTTCGCTTTTCCTATCAAGCTGAGAGAAGAGTTAATTTTAGTTAAGTTTCTTACTTTTTAGGTTCTTCGTTTGTAATGTGTTTTTACATTCTCCATCCGTAACAATCCTTGGTCCATTTTGAAGTATATTTAACTATTTGGTATTTGGCTACCATAGCAAACTACCCTTATGAAGTCTTATCCCAAAAAAGCGCATTCCGATTGAGTGTTGTGAAGCCAATAACATAATAATCTTAGAGCAAAGCAGAATAAAGGTAGATATGTCAGTGAGCCAAAGATAACTCAAAGAAAATACATTCAAACTGCCTAAAGCGTGGGAAACAAGAGCAACCAAGTCCAAAATTGACTTCAGTTTTAAATCTAAGTGATCGAGAGAGTGGCACGAATTTACAGGAACAATAAAAAAAGGGAAGTAAAGCCAGACACTGCAATACCAAGTTACTCTCTATTGTCAATTGAAAATTGCTCTATAATAAGTTTTCTTTAACAACACAATAGAGAATTCGAAATATCGTGACGTACTTTTAAAATGGACCGTACTACGCGATGGGGGGTTGTACTTACCGGAATGTAACTGGCGTTAATGTAGTCAGACTTTGGATCACCCTCTATTTTCTCCAAAACAACGCGAGAATGATCATCTGTCACGAAAAAGAGCCAGTTTTAAGTTTTTACTGAGAATCTCTCGCAGCGGAATCTCTCTCCTCAATTACTCACTCGTACTCAAACTAATTCTCACCTAGTGACCACTACTAAGTTGTAGGGCGCGGAAACCCTGGTTCACCCTACTCTTCGTCTGCAAGAGTTAATCCCTCAGTTAAACTTATTCCTACGATCATGCGATAACAGAGGATTCCACAAAATTTAAGGGTCCGCAAAGCGATTTTTTTTAATGCAAATTTGTAATTGATGTCTTTATTCTGCGTTCAAGCGAATGAGTATTTAGAAAACTTTTTTCGTGCATAAAATGCAACTGAATAGTACAGAATAAATAAAATTCACTTACAGGTCGTAATATTTCCAAAACGGTTTTTCACTTTGTTGTTTTTGCCAACGTCCCAAGAGAACGGCAAAATGCTGGGTAACTTCTGTTAAAAAATAAGTATAAAAAGTTAACTGTCTAAGTCTCCAAGCCAGCTAAGAACACAAGCCGTTCTACCGACTGAACATTAACTTATTTTGATTTGAAGGGATAGGCAATCTTATTAGAAATTACTATTCATATTTGTTGTTGATGATCATGAAACAGTAACTACAATTATACTTAATTACGTCAAACCAACAACAACAGCAACAATCACACAGTATTAAAGACTTGCAAAAGGAAACTCTCTTCATTAAAGCAAGAAACCTTGTCGAAGCAAATAGTACTTCTTCTTTTTATCCAACTGCACAAAGTAAAGTACAAATAACGCGCGAATAGAGTGCAAATTTCCTGCGATATTGTATGGTTATTTGGACAGTTGGTTACTTTGCGGTATAAAAAGACCTGTTTAACCAGTCGGCTGCGCGCCTTAGCCTCTCTATTCGCTTTGCTTTTTCCACCTTATGAGAAACAGTTGTTATATAATTTTCTTCTACCCTTCTATGGACAAATCAACCTACACCGGCATTAGCTTATGGAAATCCCCTTGAAAAGCTATCATAATTTTTTTGCCTTGCCTTAAATTCCTCTTTCAGCACAATGCCTCCATTGACTGATTTGTTCTTGAAGTATTGAGCAAACTCCGCCACAGGAATTGGTTTTGGCGTACCATCATCAGCCTCACTGTACACCGATTCTTTTTCTTTGGGGAGAGATTCTTTCACACCAACTGTGAAGAGGAATCAAAGGAGGTTAATTTAAATTAAAAAAGTAATTCCCTTTAGCTTAATAGTCCCAATCTCACAAGAGACCCAGATTTTTCCTCGGCCTCACGATTGTGACGAATGCTTTAAATCTATTTGATCGGACAACCCATCTCAAAATTCACAATCTTTCTTACTTTATTTCCACATTGAATCATTAAGAAACTTTCAATACTGCTGGTCCTCGTGATAAGCGTTCTTTTGCTCACAAAAGAGGTCTTTAGAGCTCATTTGGTAGAGTGTCCGACCGAAAATTCGGGAGGTCTGACGCTCGCACTTGAACGGACAACTCATATCTTTCCTATGTCCTGTGTTCCGGACAAATACAACAATTGCATAGTTCCTATGACTAAACGAAGACGTCCTTTCTAACATTTCTATGTCGTAAACCTTTCCTCGTGATAGTGAGCTAAAAATGTAATTATACAGATGAACATTATCGGTTTTACATCAATCACATTTTAACTTCATGTGGCGATCGGTATTGATTTCACATTGTAGATAGTCCTAGAAGTGAGAAATCGAGCGAAGGAGTCATTTGCCTCCAACCTCTTAACTAACCATTAATTCATAAAATATCTGAGTGCAATAGCTTACCACTTTCATCTGAAGGAATTTCAGACACGTTTTGATAAACTAAGTCAGCTGTTCTTCCGTTGGACTCAACTGAATCCATTCTGAATTCGCCAAGTGGAATATGTACTTTATTACTATCTTTCCCTGGGCCCGATTTTTCTGCCCGTCTCCTCCTGAAACGGTAGTGGGAAACACACAGTTACACTGGGAACACACAAAAAGCTCTTTTCTTTTTATGATATTCCATTACAACATAACGAACATGAAACAATTTGCTTCTACCCCTTGTGAACATCATCAGGAAAATTACACCTTGCAAAGCCATTATATAAAACTGTTACTGCGGGTCAAGCATACCTCCGATACAGCAGTATTGCGACAAGAAGCAATGGTACCAAGACTATAACCAGAACCACTGGAACGGCAATCTGCACAATACTAGCAGATTTAGAGCTTTCTCTTCTTCCTAATCCTACAGCATGTGTATCAAAAAAAGGAGAACACCCATCCAAGGTTAGTCAATATTTAATTATGAATACAGAGTAATTATCAAGCTGAGTATCTCTGTTTTTAGAAATATTAGGTTTGAAAGTGAAACGATAAAATCAAGAAAATTTCGACTCAAAATTATCAATAAGTATTCATCTTGCCTTCAGTGACAGAAATTTTTGCCACCTTGCTGACTGGTCCATATAAAATTACCTGTGAACGTAATAGGTAAAGTTAGTCTTAATTTGTCTTTTAGTAGTTATATGACAGTAGCATTTTCAGTTTTGCTGGAGGTTCCAATAGTTGTTCTTAATTACAAATTCATAAAATTTGTAATTTTTTCACGCTGTGTACCATCACATATCTTTCGATCTCACCCTATTGCGACACGGGACGCTTTCAAAATCCTAACACCAGTCATCCCTTTCCTAGGGAGGGCTAAGGTTCCCTTTGGAAACTTTGAAGGTTTAAGTCCTTTACAGTTGCATTTTCCTGCTTTTTTTGGGTCTTTTTCAATACTTTTTCCTATGCGGTTCCTTAAGGTCAACCAGTTGAAGAGTATTACGTGTGTGATAGGAGTACAATGCCATTTGGGTGAAAGCTTCAGGCAGATTGTAACTTGTCAAGAAATTACTTACATCATTGTCATAAGTCATCGCTCTTTGGTACACAATGTAGTCCTCTCCGATTTGAAGTTCTTTGTTTCTGTATGCTCCATACGTTTTTCCATCGCCAACACTGAATTCCCAAGACATTTCATTCCCCGGAATATTTTTCAGCTCAGCAGCAACATAAAACTTCTGGTTCCCTGTCTCGGAATTATTTGAATCTTGTATTTTTGAAGCAAAATCAATCGGAAGATCTTCCACTCCGTCAACAACATTTAGAACTATAACTTGATGAGAACTGAAAAAGAGGAAATGGGAATATTTTTTAAAGTTCATTGCACTTAACTTAAGTACTCGAACCTTAAAAAATAACATTTACAAAGAGAGCTTTGATTAAAGGAGCTACAGGTAACGAAATTTGAGTAAAAAAGATGTCCCTTCTATCAAAATCTTGGAAAGATAGCCTGAAGGGGCAACAAAATACCAAAGAAGTAAGAATAACAGTGATGAAAGGAGAGGTCGACATGGATGGGAACTGCAAAACTTGAAAATCCAGGCGTCCCTTCAATGATGGCGACAAGTGTAAAGGTAAAGGAGCATTATCTTAGTTAGGATCAGGGTTTGTAAGTCCCCCCAAAAAATGAGTAATTCACCTTATTGGACCATTTCTTTGCTCCGCAGGCCACAAGCGAATCACAACAGTTGATGTCGAAATACGTTTATTCGTCACCGAAAGTACAGCTGGGGAGATCGGGGCTAAAGTGAAAAAGAGAAGCAAGGAAATTGTAACAGGTTTGAAAAGGTGTTTTCTTCAAAAAAATGTGTGTGTTATTTATATGATAATGTACTCTAAACTGGAGAGCGAAAAAGAAAAGAGTCAATTATTGAGCCGTTGAAAATTTTGCCCTGGTAAACTTAGTGAAAGACAATTAGCCAATGACAAAAATTAGACCGGCATAATTCATCGTTTTTTACGAGTACCATGCAAGCTAACTCATTATTTCTTCAAAAAAAGGTGTTAATATTCATCAGCCGTATATTTCTGGATAGAAAGGGTTTTTAAATGAGTTCATACTGTTTTAGTAGTCTCAACAATAAATCAGTCTAAAACTCTGTCTTTTATATTAATAAGCAACTGCTCATATAAATCAAATTTCACCTGTCATCTTTGTTTCGATCCTATCAGGAAATCTTCTGGGTTCTCCGAGTCCACAAACAGAGCTCACGAAAATCTGAAACTCGTAGATTGAACCTGGAACTAAACCTTTCATGGTGTAATAGGTGGAACTGCCAACGTCCTGAACACCTTCCTCTCTAAAGCTTCCATTATAAGGCTTTATACCGAGATACTTCACCTTAAGAAAGAAAGACAGCTTTATGTGAAACTTCACATAGCTTTTCAACAATATCTCCTGTTCAAAAGGAGAAGACTGACCATGGTTTTGCATTCTGGAAATACGCCATGAAAAAAACGAACAAACAAAGACTAACACTGAAAGAAAAAAAAGAACAATTATCAGATCTGTCTTTTCCAACAACATTTGCTGTAAACGCGAGAGACAAACTTTCCAAATCCACGTACGTTTCTGCTTATCCTAAAAAAATTCCAGCAGAATATTACACAGGAGGCTCCTCGCATAATGGCTGACATCAAAAGTTAAAAAAGTGGCGTTAGGTTTAACATCATTTTATTGCTTTCGTGAAACTCACTCTATAGCTGAGACCTTCTTTTGTCATAAGCTCTGGTTCCTTCCATTCCAGTGTCACTTGGGTTGCTCCAACGTTTGATGCATTTAACCCCCAAGGTGTTCCCGGGCCTTTGAGAAAAGCGAAAATACTTCTAATACTCAGCGTAAACATAAATTTCCTTGTAAAGAAGTTGACTTATTTCATTCCTTTTTTTTTCTCTGTTATTTATGAACTGTTCTGATTTAATTTTTGGGATATCTTCCTTTGTTTTGAAGGGCCAATGTAGTTACTGGCTTTGGGTTTACTAAATTCACTCTTACTGCTGTATGCCGTACTACATACCTGACGTTCTCAGCAGTTCTAAAGGTGGACCATATGGGCCAGGACCTACTTTGGTATAAGCTCGAACAGATACTTGGTATTGCGAACAAAGCAATAATCCACTCAGTAAAATGAATGTGTCTGTTGTATTGACTGTTTTGCCGCTCAGAGGTGATCTTTTCTGTCGTGTTCCCCGAGACAACAACTCTTCTTTGACGTTGTACAGAATGATGCCGCCATTACTCTGTTCTCTTGGTAGAGGTGCCCATGAAATGTTTAAGGTGGTTTTGTTCACAAAGGCAGAAAACACCTTAGCTGGGCCACTATTAGGCTCTAGGGGATAACAATTCAGTCAAAAGTTAAACATCATACCCTAAGAAGTTTTTATGGTTTTAACATGTCATTTCAAACTCATGTCACCCCCGTGCATCTCATTTTACTCCAATTATTTCTTTTTTTTATCCCACCAAACCCATGTCGATTTCCTTCGTCCATAATCACCCTAGTTCATCTTAGTTTATTCCAATAATGTTTTTTTAATCTTACCAAACTTATTTTTTGTGGTTTAATTAAAATTGAATTTCATTTTTTTTACAATCCACATTACACGACTGAACTAAACGTGCCGGTAATGAAGATCTTGCTTCTTGTTAACATCGATAAGACACGTAAGACAGACTACATTGCACTTACTGTATTCTGAGATATTAACGATTAAAGAGGCGTTTTCTCCAGGTTTTATTATCTCAGCTCTGACGTCAAACCAATAGGTGGCTCCACCCAACACATCAACTGTGTAACTAAAGACATCTGGTCCAAAGGTCTCATTGTGAGTATTAAGTGGATCTTCACTGTGGTGGTAAAACACAGTGTAATTCCTGATAACTCCATTCGGTTGTGAAGGGGCTGTCCAGGATAAAGTTATCATTGGTCCATGTGACTCAGTCGGTGTTATAAGAGTATGATTGAGGGAAGCCGGAGGACCAGGTGCTAAAGAAAAAGTTATAATTAGAGGAAAAGTCAGAAATTAATAGTGTTGAAGGAATTAAAATTGCACTTAGCTCGGTTTATTATGTAAAATAATAATTACTTTAAAGATAAAGAAATTCCCATGGAATGTTCTGTCCGTGTCTTACCATCTACAACTGTTCGCACGACTTTCACAGAGCTTTTTGGTCCATCACCGCGAGATGTGAAGGCCAACACTTGAAAGTCATAATCTGTACCAGATTGTAGCCCAGTGACAGATATGGACCGAATTGCTGCATTGTTTATGAGTACTTCGGTTGTTGAGCTCATATCACCACCTGTTTCTTTGTAAAAGAGTTTGTATCCCTTGATGATTCCATGTCTGGAGTCTTCAGGAGGTAACTGCCAAAATGCTAAAACACTGGTAAAAGAGCTGGCTGCTACAGCTAAGCCACTAGGAGGTTGTGAAGGGACTAAAATTAAGATAAAATTTTATTATCATTAGGATGAGGAATGCAGTTTAAAACATACATTGTAAGAAATCCTAACATTATAACCTTCTTAGAGTATGTTTTACATTTTACATCTTCAGTTGCCATAGTGAGCATAATCCATAAACTTACAAAAATAATACATGAATGTCAATATCCAAGCAACTGCACACCTACTCCTCCTTACCTAACAACAGTCAACTGATTGCAAGTAGGGTTAATGTTAAAGTTGCTTGGATGCTAATATTAATTCAAATAAGACACCTAAAAAACATTTTGCATAACAGTTTTCAAACATAATCCAAAAAATGGTGTCAAGAATAGATAGATTAAAGACCTAAATAGAGAAAAAGAAAACAGATTTTCTTGACTAAGTTACAAGGAACTTAATGATCAGATTCTTGGGATTAAACTTTTTAATGTATATTTGTTAGGATTTCAACATATATACACAGTCAAACATATTACTGCACCTTCATTCATGTCAACCCAACTTTACAATGATAGGCTCTTGAAAACCAACCAAAAGTGGAAGTGCAACCGCTACAAACAATAAAGTTTCTTACCATCTTCCCTTGTTCTCTCCACCACAACTGAACTCTTTGGTCCATCACCATGAGACGTGAACGCCAACACTTGAAATTCGTATTCTGTGTACTTATCCAGACCATGAATTACTCCTAAAAAGGTCCTTCCATCATTGATAGTTTCCACACGTATTGACCCAATAAACCCTTTCTTTTTATAGAACAATTTGAACCCTGCAATGATTCCATGTCTGGAATAT